CAGACGCCGGGCGGGCGGCCGACCCAAACGGACAAAAAGCGGATGAAATCGCCGTCCGTTTGGGTCGGCCCGTTGGAGTTGCTCTTATTCCCTCGCTGGCAACCATAAAACCCTAGCAAGCCATGGGTTTCTTCAGCGGGAAGGGAAAGGGGAAGGGGAGGTTCAGCGCCGACGCGAGCTCTTCCCGCGCAGTCCCTCCTCCTCCGCCGCCGGCTAGACGCGGCTCGCCATCACGAGAGTGACAAAGGTTGTACATACTAGTCCACCAGGCGCAGTGGCACTGGGAGTACCGCTGGCCCCTGCAGTATTCGGATGTCAACCTGCCGCACGGCCGACATCTGGACCCGTAGTGCATTCCCATTTCGGTGGCGCCGCGCTCGCGCGGGCGCACGCCGAGGAGGTTCGCTGGCTGCTCGGGCTCCTTACGCCGGAGCAGTGCGCAATGTGTGCCTTCGCGCCAGACTCCCCCAACTGGGACCGCTGGTTTGCGCTAGAGCACAAGGAGGAGCGCCGCCGCCGTGTCCGCATCGACCACGGCGTTCCCTCGCCGCCCCCATTGGTATTGCCAGAGGAGGAGGAGGCGAAGTATCAAGCCGTCCTCGAGGAGGCCCTGGAGCGCACGCTGGAGGAGAGCCGGCTCGAGGAGGACGCACATTGGGATGGGCTGGAGCACACCCTCGCCTTGTCAGCGTCGGGGGACTACGTCCACGCTCCGTCCCGCCACCGTCGCCGCTGCCACCCTTCGTCTAGCCCAAGGCCGAGCCGGAGCGCGAGCCCACGCCCACATGGAAGCGGTCGCCGCCGCCGGCCACTTGGCCTGAGGAATCCTACTCGTGGACCGGCCAGCTTCACGAGTGGATGAGCGCACCTCCCTGCCACTACGCCTTGTCGCCGAAGGAGGAGGAGGCCGACGGTGAGCGGCAGATGTGCTACGACGAGGAGGCACTGCCCCTTGAGGAGGAGGAGGAGGAGGAGGCTGCCCTGGCAGCCTATCAAGCCGCGTTTGGTTGGGCTGGGCCGCCTCCCGTCTTCATCGACCTCACCGGCAGCAACGACAACAAGGACAAGGCGAACGACTAGAACAGTGTGCGAGCGCTTAGCGTTTTTTAAGGTTTAATTAATATTTAAATGGACTATGATCGGCGGTTGACCGGTCATTTATGTTTAATCATTATTTATTAAATTTATTTTGGCCATGTGAGAAAAAACGTGTATGCCTCCTGCTGACGCATGAGCCGACCCAAATCAAAAAGCGAAGGCTCACGTCTGGCTAACCGACCTAAGCAGACGAAAAGAGGATAAAGCGCGCGTTCGTTTAGATGGGAGCGTTGGAGCTGGTCTTAATTCTCGTGCATGATTTCGGATTTCCCCTATCTGTGGAGAACACGATGATGGGAGGACTATTCCCTAGCTTGCCATTCAACACAGACATCCCCAAGCAAGCACGGTAAAGTTGGAGATTAGCACAGCCTACAGGCCGAAGCTGTAATGCATGCCGGGGCCGAACAGGCTAGTACATAGTCGTCTTTTTCTCATCTCGCATAGGGCGGGCATATGTGGGGGTGAGACGTGAGACAAACACAAGCAAGCTCTTCAGCCCCATGTCCCCGGCCGGACCACGCGCCCTTGCATCCGTCAATTCATATCACCTCATCTCCTACATGTAGGCCCGGTGAAGAGTGGCCTGGACCCTCACATGAGCTGAATCCATCGGTCACTGTTCACAAGTAGCATGCACATCGATGGTAGAATCCGATTAATTATCCCTCAACCCCTCTTCTCAAGAAAAGAATCCAATTAACCATCACCACACTTTCTTCCACAGGCATGCTCCCTCCCTCCCGTGTTAGAGAAAGGTGCACGAACTTTGAATTGAAGCGCCCATGTAGGGTTTTTCATATTATATAAGTTTATATATGGCATGTCCCAAGTACGTCCTGGATGCAAAGCATGTGGCTTTTTGCGTACTACTACGAGGCGTAGCCGTGCTAATGCTAATTATCGCCGGATGAACCATTGTCATGATTTGGATACCCACGGCACGGCACGGATATGTAGGCCTCGTTCGTTCATCTGGCACGCGCTCACTTGGCTTTCGGCCGCCCTGAAAGCCTATCACAGTTTACTTACTTTGCATATTATTATTATTTTTAAACTTTGGCGACCTTTATTACACAATAATCATATCAGATACAAGGGAGGGAATTAAGAAATCAGGGGATGCTCTTGCCAGACCTCATTTAACTGCCTTCTATAACTAGTCCTGGCTAGCCAATGCGCAACCCCATTACTCTCCCTAGCACAGTGTATAATCGTCGCCCTGCCGAAAGAACTCAACACCTGTCGGCAATCATCCGTCACCACCGCAGCCGAGGCACGGTACTCCGAAGGATCCGTCATAGCTTGAACTATCTCCTGTGAGTCGGACTCCACAACCAGTGCATAAATACCCAAATGCTCTGCCAAACGCAGTCCTTCCAAAAGTGCTAACGGTTCCATAGAGGAAACATCCATGGCATGTTGTCGAAAGGAGCAAGAAGCAGCAATAAACGCTCCTGAGCTATCTCGTAAGACAGCTCCAGCTGCTCCCGCTCCCTCATCCACATGATAGCTCGCGTCAACATTTAGTTTAATCACCCCTTTAGCTGGTCTCACCCATCTAATCTGTTTCGTGGGCTCCTTTGCCTTTGCAGCTAGAGAGTTTGCCACGATTGCCCGAATGCTCATAGCTGAACGAACCGGGCTACCAACCTTCTCCTGGTGACTGATCTTCCGACGATCCCACCATAAGTACCATCCAGTCACCATAACTGTCTCCACACCATTATCAATTGGTAGTTTTACCTCTCCTGGTAGCTCAGAGCAGAGAAGTGTCTCCAGGATTACCGACCCCGACCGCTCATGGGCTGCTGCATTCGTGATCGGTGTTTCCAGCACCAGCTCCTTCCACACGGCCTTGGCTCTTTCGCACGCAAATAACATATGTCGCAGATCCTCAGGCTCATTGCCGCATACTGGACAAATCACCGGAGTAGATAGGTGCCGATCTGACAGCGTACAATAGCATGGTACAATCCCATGTAGCACTCTCCAGTTAAACACATTTACCTTAGGGGGCACTGTCCTGCCCCAAAGGACTTTCCAAACCGGATGCGGATCCACTCTTCCTGCTCCAACATTCATCCGAGCCCGTGTTCTATACTCAGATTTCCAAGTCATGTGATAAGCAGACCGAACCGTGAAACATCCCGACTTTGAGAAATGCCATGAAATAAAATCAGACTGGCCATGAGATGATAGTGGTATCTGCAATATTCTTTCAGCATCCACTGGCCAAAAAATTTCCTTTAATAATTGTTCATCCCAACTTCCGGATATTGGATCAATCAGTTCTTGTACTTTCTGTAACAAGTAATGCCCCCTTGGGGTCATAACCCTCCGATCATGGCTTGCGGGAATCCACTGATCCTTCCAAATGTCAATGGATGCACCATCCCCAACCCGCCAGATCGCCCCTTCCCTGAAGGTTTTCATACCTGCCATGATACTTTGCCACGTAAAAGATGCACCTTTTTTCAGAGTAGTATTCATCAAATCCCCATCTGGGTAATACTTTGCTCGTAGGACTTGAGCACATAACGAATCCGGATCAGATAATAACCGCCAACATTGCTTTGCTAGCATGGCTCTATTGAAACAGTATAGATCTTGGAATCCCATGCCTCCTTCATTTTTCGGGATACACATCTTCCATCACGCTTTCCAGTGTATTTTCTTCTTGTTCTGAGTGTCTCCCCACCAATATCTAGCGATAGCATCGCAAATAGCCTTACAAATATTTTTGGGGATATTAAAAAGAGACATGGCATAGACTGGGATCGCCTGCGCCACTGCTTTCAGTAACGTCTCCTTTCCACTGATCGAGAGTATCTTTGACATCCAACTGTTAATAAGCGCACATACTCTATCAACCAGGTACTGAAAACTGTCACTACGGTCGATTCCAACCTTCGACGGTAGTCCCAAATACTTATCAGAAATAGCCTCTGAAACTATATTAAGCTGTGTGCAAACCTCTGCTCGTACCTCCACCAAAGTGTTTGGACTGAAAAAGACACTGGATTTTGCATCACTTACCAGTTGACCCGAGCTAGCACAGTACAAGTCCAGCGCATTCTTGAGTGACGTGGCATTCAACGTATCCGCCCTCATCAGGATCAGGGAATCATCAGCAAATAACAAGTGTGAAACTGATGGTGCACTACGGCACACCCTAATTCCTTGGATACCACCGACCGCCTCTTCATGCGCTAGTAGACTGGATAACCCTTCAGCACATATCAAGAATAGGTAAGGAGATAACGGGTCCCCTTGCCTGAGCCCCCTGGATGGGGTAAACGCCTCTGTTTCATCCCAGTTGAACCAAATCCTGTAATTAACTGAAGTAACACATGCCATAATCATCTCCACCCATGAGGTGTCAAACCCCAACTTGATCATCATATCCCTGAGAAAATTTCACTCGACTCGATCATAGGCTTTGTGCATGTCTAGTACTACTTGGAGTCTCTTCTTGGACAACCTGCCACTTCGGTCGCCGTTCAAAGGCTTCCGGCGGTCGTCCAGCGCGCCGTTGGATCGCACACGTGAAGCCAGGGAGGCTGAGGAGATGAGAGAATGTTGTTTCAGATCAAGCCAGATCAACAGCATGCACCAGAAAAGATGCCTTCCTCTCGAATGCCACCTCTCTCTGTACTGGAACTTGTGAGAGATGTCCCTCTTGATCTCTAACCACTGGGATCATGACATAAAGTACACGCTAACATTATGTACCATGGCTTTGCAATTTTATACACTAGTATATAATTCTTTTTTTTTGCGGGAAACGGTAGTATATAATTCAAGAAGCCAGGCCGAATTCATCACTCTTCATAATTAACATGCCGATCACCAGTGAACAACCTTGCTGCTACACCATTTGCGATTTTGCATATCATTAGCTAGTTACTACTCATTGGAGGCTGGCGTTCGTATATCATGCATTTGCACCCGACGGCGTCACACTTGCCTTGTTTGGGTACCTGAATAAGGTTGTAGCACGCCACATTACAAGTGGCATCGTCACATGGCTTTGGTGATGGGATAAGGGTATCCTCACACCTGTACCTGAACTTAGCGCTACCGTCCATTGACGCCGCCGTTACCGCACCTGCGAAATCTCCATGAAGAAAGGGGATGGTCGATCACAACATGGCCATTATTTGTGGCATGAGATTGTGAAATACAAGAACAAGCGAGTACCTGATGCTAGCATGAGCAAGGCGAGGACCAGGAGAAACACCCGGGTAGTCCTCATCTTAACTAGTTGCGGTGTTCAAGGAGAGAGTCGTCGATCGTTGTGTGATATGCGAGTTCTGAAGGAGAACAAACGAAATGGACAAGGCTTTTTATAGCTGATTTAGCGCATTAAAGTACCAAGATTTTGTGGATCTTATGAAATTAATAACCAACAACCGAATTAATGTACTCTTATTTATTTGATTTGGTGAGTTGATATATTCATTAACTGTATATAGGATTTTATGAAATTGTTTTATATATTCAGTAAATGACTATTAATTTGATGCATCTCACCAAATCAAATATATAGAGCATGATTGAGTGAGTGAGTGAGTGAGTGAGTGCGTGTGTGAGCACATTATCATTCTTTTCCTTAGAGAGAACGACACGCTTTGCCTCATGTGTGTGATCATCGACAAACTTGGTTCTGTATATCACCTGCAAAATAACTATTTAGTTATATGCTATCTAGTACAGAAAATGCATATTGTTGGATTATAAATGGGCTTAGGCCCATATAAAACAATAATCCCTGGTTAATCTTTTAGACCCATTTAGGTGCATGGCAAGTGGTTTGTTTAGTACCATACTGCTAGTGGAGTGAGAATGAGAGCCTTTTATAAGGGCTGCTCTACCACATTGCCATTGGGACCTTGAGAGAGGAGTTGTATACGCGCGCTCCTTCTCCTTCGCCGCTTGCCTCGCCTCGTCATAACGGGCGCCGCGGGAGTGCGTCGACTCAGACCTGGGCCTAAGCCCAGGCCCACGACTCCTTACCCGACGACCTATATAAGAAGCCTCTGGCGAGTGGAGTGACCTAACTCAGTTCACTCACTCCCTCTGCACAACCCTAACCCTAGCTGTCATCTACTGTTCCTCTTAGTGAACTGCTTCGGCAATCGCATCCCGACGACCGCGTGCATGGTTGGTCGTGGGAGAAGGTGCCTCCGGAACCCTGTCATTCGAGATCCTGCCCGGGAGAACGACAATAAGGTTTTTAGGGAGCGTCTCGACTCGAATGCTCCCGATTCGTCCCAATCTTCGTCGTCTTCGTCCTCCTCTGCTTCCACTACTTCCCCTGCATCGACTTCATGACGAACGCCACCGCCGTTGCCGCCAAGAAGAATGCCACGAACGACGCCGAGGCTACTGGTGTTGCCGTCGCGTTGGCCTGGCCAACCGGAGGGTATGATTTGTTCATCCCTCACTTACTCATTTATATGCTTGTTCATGTGCTAGCTGTATATGTTGTGGTTATAGATGTTTCTGTTCTATGTACTGTACGTGCTCACATGTTTAAGCATTGGTATGTGTTACATAATGTGGTTGCCATGTTTACTGTTTACTCATGGATTAATCTAATCAAAAAGGTGCTCATATTTCCAACAATACAAAAACCTTATTTTAGGCACTTTTCTATTCAAGGCTTTCCTGCTACTCTAGAACCGAAAAAGTTTACCGCGACGCATTTTAAGCGTTGGCAGACAAGGACTACATATGTCCTGGTTTAGTGGTATCATTTGTATTTTATGCTATATTTTGATCACAGACTTTGACTATCAAAATATAAGTTGTGTGTCACAAAACCTATATTGGTGCATTAGTTTTTTTTTATGGTTAGACGGTAGGAAAAGCTCCTATTGCATGTATGTATTTAAATCAAGCTGGTCAACTTTACAAGGAGCATGGAGGTGGGGGGGAGACCTATACAAGGGCTAAACTTACAAGATTACCTATGTGTGAGGCTATGTTACAGAGTCTAAAAAAATTTGAAACAAGATCTTTTTTGTGCTCTAGTAGTCTATGAGCAATGTTGGAGAAATCAGTCTTGAATCTGGTCCGCCAAACAGAGAAGGAGGGCGTCACTTGCCGAAAGTAATCATTATTCCTTTCTTTCCAAAGACTCCAAGCAGCCACAAGGAATACATCCATGATCATTTTCTGGCGATCTCTCGTCTTCAAGTGGGTCATCATGTCCAGGCGGTTGCCATCTGCCGGCCAGCTAATATTGAGTTCGTGCTAGCAGTGTTCGCTGAATTTGCAATGGAAGAAGAGATGCTCAACCGTTTCTTCAACATGGTCACCACAGAGTAGACAATCAAGATTGGTCCCTATGTTATAGTGTCTTCTCTTCAACATATTGCGCGTGTTGAGGCGATCTACCAATAGGAACCACCCAAAAACTTTAATTTTGTGGACACTTTTGGCCTTCCATAGCCAACCAAATGCTTCATGTGCAACTACATCTCTGAAGCAGAATTTGTAATAAGCTGTGGTTTTGAAAACCTGCGCCCCCCAAGTGCAAAGCCAAGTATCTTTGTTCTCAGAGAGGGTGGTGGAGCTGACATCAAGCTGGAGGGCTCAGAGTTCTTCATGGGCCTGTATGGAGAGGGGCAGTTGAAAAGCTTCCCTTATGTTGGATATTGTGAGCATTGTGTCGACTGAAGCATCTTCCAAGGTGGTGTAAGAGAATGCTCTGGGAAAGGCTTCCTCTAGGATGTGTTGATTCCAGTCATCCTTCTAGAAAAGAGTTGTCTTACCATCATTGATCAAAACTTTCGTGACACCACGATAGATTGGCATGAGTTTCACTAGCTCGCGCCACCAGAAGGAACCACACAAGGGCATAGCATGTGGGACCACATGAGAGTAGTAGGTGTCCCAAATAAGTTTCACCCAGGGTATATCTAGTTGATTATGGAATTTGTGGAGCAACTTGAGCAGCATCGCATCATTTTGAATTTTGAGATTGAGAACTCCCAAGCCACCATTCTTTTTAGGACGACATACCATATCCCATGCAGCAAGAGAATTAGACTTATAACCTGTTTTAGTTTTTTCTTCCAGAGCCCATGTCTTCAAATTTTGTCAAGTTGCTCAATTATTATTATTTTTTTGGGGGGGGGGGAGCCTCAGTACTCCCATTGGGTAAATGGCCAGCAAAGTGACTAGCAAGTTCATGAGAGCTAATTTTCCAGCATATGACATTAGGGACATGGCAGCCGTAATCCTGCCTTCCGCTTTGCACACCCAGGGGGGTCATGTCCAGCACTGTTGGTTTAGTGCTTCCAAGGGGGAGGCCAAGGTACATGAACGACATGCAGGCCGTGACACACCCGAAGATGGCTGCCAGATCGATACACTTGTCTTCCGGAGTGTTGATAGGGATTAACGTGGATTTATGGAAGTTGATGTGTAGGTCAACTGAGGCAGCGTAGTCGGTTAGAATGTTCTTCATGATCGCCGCCAGTTCCACGCAAGCTGGCATGATGATGATTGTATCGTCGCCGTACTGAATACTGGGTAGTTGGTCGCGCCATAGGATGGAATAGGCAGATGTAGACGATTATCTTCCAAAGCCTCATTAATAGCAGTTTGTAGGAGATCGGCTACTAAAACAAAGATCAGAGGAGAGAGAGGGTCCCCTTGACGCACCCCGCATTTGCACCAGAATTGCTTCCGAGGTACCCCGTTGAGCAAGACCGAAGATTTCCCAGATGATGATATACTTGTGAACCATGATATCCATTTATCATTGAACCCATGCTCTTCATTATCTGGATGATTGCATCGTGTTCAACCATATCAAACGCTTAGAAAAGTCCAATTTGAGAAGGATTATTTCACATTTGGAAGCTTGACATTGGTGTATGTACTCAAAAGCCCTTGCAAGGCAGTCATGGATGGATATTCCCTTCAAAAACCCGTACTGATTTTTGTGCACGATGTTCAGGATCACCTTTTGGAGTCGGTTGGCTAGGATTTTGGTGATTAGCTTGAGACAATAATTGAGCAAGGCGAAAATCATTGACTGTCTCAGGGGCTCTGGTTTTAGGTATGAGCGTGATGTACCCATAGTTGAGGCTTTCGAGGTTTAGAGTGCCATGATAGAATTCATCACATAGGAGGTAAAAGGATTCCTTGATGATTGGCCAACATGCTCTTAAGAACGCACCATTGAATCCATCTGGGCCAGGAGCACAGTCAGGAGGCATTTCTTTGATCACATTGTCGATCTCTCCACGTGTGAAGGCTGTCAAAATCCAGTTACGTTCTAAGCATGCGGGAAAGGTTGAATCTCATTTGTGGCGTGCTCTTCTTGCCCATGTGATTCTTGAAGGCCTCGAATAAGAGAGATTCCTTGTTGGAATGATCATCAACTTGCGTTCAATCTTTAGTTTTCAGACTAGAGATGCAATTTTTCCTATATCTTTCAGTTGCAACCGCTTGGAAGAACTTAGAATTCTCATCGCCAAACTTGATCCATCTTATGGTGCAACATTTTTTCAATATTATTTTTGATATTCTGGAAGACGTAGTAGATGTGTTTTAAGAATGCGCTGGAAATTCCCCTCGGGTATAGTCAAGTCTCGATGATCTGCAATATGGTCCAGTTCCAGGATTGGCTTATTGGTGTTCTCAGTCACTATTTTCAGCCTTGAAATGTTCTTGCTCCAGATGGTGAGATCATGCCTGAGGTTCTTAAGTTTTTGACATAAGCTGGACGCCGCATTCTTATCTTTCCCATGGCTAGTGGGTTTCTTCCATGCTTTGTTCACCACATCTAGGAAGCCAGGGTGTGCAATCCAAAAGGTTTCAAATCGGAACAGTTTGCATTTAGGAATGGTGGTTTGTATGACAACATTGCATGGCATGTGATCAGAGATAGGTCTTCCCAAAGGATTGACAAGTGTATTGGGAAAGGTGGCCGTCCAAGTAAGTGACATAAAAAACCAGCTGTTCAAGTAGGGGATGTTGTTGCATATTAGACCAGGTGTAGTTTCTACCTTTGATGGGTAATTCAGTGAGACATTGCTCGTGAATGAAATCATTGAAAGTGAACATATCATTGACATCACCACCTGGTTTATTATGGTTTTCTGGCAATCTTATATAATTGAAATCTCCAAGAATGAGCCAATATTCATTAGACGGGATATCCACCTCAAAAAGCCATTTCGTGAAAGAAGTATGTGGATCGCCTTGACATGGACCATATACATTCACGAGTTTCCA